GACAGATTTTACTTTTTTGGGCTCCATGATCACTGCAGATGGAGACAGCAGACACAAAATTAAAAGATGCCTGCTTCTTGGGAGGAAAGCGATGACAAACCTAGACAGCATCTTAAAAAGCAGAGACATCACCTTGCCAACAAAAGTCCGAATAGTCAAAGCTATGGTTTTTCCTGTAGTGATGTATGGAAGTGAGAGCTGGACCATAAAGAAGGCTGACCGCCAAAAAATTGATGCCTTTGAATTGTGGTGCTGGAGGAGGCTCTTGAGAATCCCCTGGACTGCAAGGAGAACAAACCTATCAATTCTAAAGGAAATCAACCCTGAGTGCTCACTGGAAGGACAGATCCTGAAGCTGAGGCTCCAGTACTTTGGCCATCTCATGAGAAGAGAAGACTCCTTGGAAAAGACCTTGATGTTGGGAAAGTGTGAAAGCAAGAGGAGAAGGGGACGACAGAGGACGAGATGGTTGGACAGTGTCATAGAAGCTACCAACATGAATTTGACCCAACTCCAGGAGGCAGTGGAAGATAGGAGGGCCTGGCGTGCTCTGGTCCATGGGGTCACGAAGAGTCAGACAGGACTAAATGACAGAACGACAACGACAACTATATTGTTAGTGTGTTATTGTCACCTAGTGGCTTTGAGCAGACTTAAGCAAAGTTAGGAAGGAAGAATGTGAGTGTTTTACATAAGTCAGTCAGTCAAACTTGGAAGGATGTGAATTTAGCTGTACAATGTTTTTTCTGGATTCTTTTTTATTGACAGCTTAACATTTTAGCACTCAAAGCCCAATTGATTGCTATATCTGGAGAGGATACTGTATTAGGGACTCAGGATGGCGGGTTCCCATTGGAAAGCAGTGGAGAATAAAGGGTTCTTCCCTTGTAGTATTCTGGGCTCACTTGCTAGAGTTATCTGCTGTGATCATTGCTGATGCCCTTATTTCATGTCCTGGTTTCCAACGGAAGTCTACAGTATGGTCTAGGTTGTGTGAATTAGTTTGTAGGAAGCTGGTGAGTGGGTTCATTGCAATTGAATGTCAAAACCCTTGTAGCTCTGATTTGGTGGAGTTTTTATCTTTGATCAGTAACTGTACATCATCTTTTTAAAATTTAGCATCTCCTTTTAACTACAGTGTAATGTAGGAAAACATGATTTTTTGGTCTAAGAATGGGGTGGAAACAGATGCACATTTATTGCATTTTATGAATCCAACTTGAATGGTTCTTTTCTCTATGTGTGTTTTGTGCCATCAAGTTACGTAGCACCAATTTATAGCAACCCTAACAGGGCTCCCAAAGTAAGTGAGATATTAAAGGAGTGGTTTTACCAGTTCCACTCCACCAATGAGTTTCCATAGCTGAATGAGGATTTGAACCCTATTCTCCAGAGTTCTAGTCCATCACTCTATCCACTACATCACACTGGGAATCCTGGTTCTCTTCTACCTGGATTATATTCTGTGACTTCGGTTACCACCAAGTACAGCATTACCCTTTTCTGGTTACTGAGAAATCAGGGACTTGGTAATATTCCATTCTCAACATCTCCGACATTACTGATGATGACAATATCTTCATAGGTTCAGATCACGCAGAGGGACGGAGTTTCAAAGTGGGTCCCTGTAGGGAAGTGTGCAGAAGAAGTTAGGAAAGTTACTTATTGGGACTGCAGTTCTCAACATTGCCTCAAACCAGCATGTGAGCACGTGGCTGGAAGTTCTGGGGATTGTAGTCCAAAAAAAACTAGTTTTTCCTAAGTCCTGGGGAGCAGTTGGCTATTTTAGCTATTGAAGAATATGTAGCTCCATCATCTTGCCGGGATACCTGGGCTCTGCCTTCCTGAAACAGCCAGATCAATGTTTGATTCATTCTCACTTTTTACTCTCTCTCACTTTCTCTTTTTTCAGGGTGAGTTGCTGAGTCCGTGTCGATGTGATGGGTCAGTGAAATGTACACACCAGCCTTGCCTGATCAAATGGATCAGTGAGAGGGGATGCTGGAGCTGTGAGCTGTGTTATTACAAGTATCACGTCATTGCTATAAGCACAAAGAACCCCTTGCAGGTAAAAGTACTAGAGATTATTCCAAAGTCCTTTCTTTCACTGTTTTGGCTAACTTTTTTTATGCTTCCCCGCCCCACTCTCACTGCTCCTTTTGTTGCTGGAGATATGTGCTACTTATATTGTATAGCTGCATGGTGAATTGCAGAACCAGACTTTCCAGCTATTTTTATTGATTTGGGGAAACAATGTAAAAGATGTGCTGCAATATAGTCATTTGAACATACTGTATAGTCAACATTTTTATTTCAGAATTCTTTTTACTGGATTAGCCAAATTAAAAAAAATAAAGTCAAATATTGATGGTTGTTGTGGGTTTTTCGAGAATACAAAGTCAAATATTGCTTCTGAATGATTTTCAGACACAATTTTTTTATGAATTTCAATACACATGTAAAATAACTCCCAGGTAGACTATTACCAGTTCCATTTCCCCAGATCTACGGTCCAGGCAGAGCTCAAAAAAGTTAGTTTTTTAGACTACCAGTCCCAGCATCTCCCAGTTACACTAGGGAAGCCATATTCAAACAAAGTAACTCTTCTAATCTAGCAGAGGGCACAATCAGACTGCTGCAAAGGTAGTAACACCAGGAAGGGTCATTTTAACAGGAGCTCTCTTAAAGTGATCTTTCCGTCTGTCTGCTGGGCAATTAGTCCAGCCTGGCCCTAAAAAAGTAGAAGCCATACAACTGGACCAAAAAAAAACCCCACCAAAATCCAGCTTGAGCACAGATTATGGTCAGGCTAGAGTGTGTTTCCTCATGTACCATGTGATTGCCATGAAGAAGATTGCCCCAGACTGCTCCACAAGTGGTCCACATTGTGACCTATTTCCCTGTGTGACCCCACCCTTGGTTTGAGTTGCCATTCCATTTGTTTGTTTCATCCCTATCTGCCTTTCACCAAATAAAGCAACAACACAAAATGGTTGACAAAATATTTAAAAGACAAATATTAGGGTAGTTAAACAAACAAACAATGGATTACAATATGAAAAGACACCATGTTGTATATTGAAACTAATGAATACAAGAGTTTAAAACAATCTGAAGCACATTTTTAAAACTTAAAGATCCTCCAATTAGAAACCTCTTCTTTGTCAGCCAGTTACTTACTAAAAGCTTGCCTGGAAATAAAGGTCTTTGCCTGCTCACGGGAGGGCTCAGCCTGGCCTTCTATGGGAGGGGGTTCTACATCCTGGGAGCAGCCACCAAGAAAGCCCCTCTCAGATATTTTCTGAAATATAATCAGTGGCTCAGCTTGAGTGAGAGCTACTGACTGTTTTTCCATATATACATTTCACTTGCTTCATGCATGCATGGCAGGCAGGAGATATTTTAATTTCTTTAACACTATGACAAATTCATGGCATGAGCCCCACCTCTGTACAAGCAGAAGATGAAACGAGGCTATTAAGAGAGTCTATTAATAATCATGAAAGTGGGCTGAACAGATAAGAAGGAAGTGTTTCGTTGAAGGCAAAAGGATCTTTTAACTGTACCAGTACTGCTTGGCTTGGCTGGAAGAAGAGAGGCGGACATCTTGTCAAGTTTTAAAGGCTTCCTATCATTATTGCTTTTTATTGTATTGTATGAACAGTGATGTAAAACTTGAAAATTAATAATTTGCATTTATTGAGATGACCCTCATAAATCTGTGCCCTAAATTATAGTTGATTTAGAGGGTACTTGCATCTAGCACTATATTCCTGCCCACACGAAATAAGCAGGTGGGCGCTGCACTTGAACCCGTCCACCATCATTCAGATGAATGTTTCACCTTCCTCTTTTCTCCTCCCACCTGCTGGGGTCCCTGTGGGATTCCTTCGTCTCTTCCTTCTCCTCTTTCTCCAATAGTAGTTTTTCAGTCAAATCAGAGCAATCTGCTGTTATTTTTTTATTATTATTCCTGAACCTTCATAATAGATCAATTAGTAAAGCAATCCAATAATCAATCTTTGAGTTAGATACGTTTTATTAAGGGATTTCCGTAACTCCAGTGCTCACTCATGTTCCAAAATGCTGGGAAACCGTTAGCTATCATGGGCTACATGTTTAGTAGACATGTTATTTTAGCAGGATTTTTACATCTACGGTGGTCTAGTTGTAGAGCATTTTTGCTGCAGAAATTTGCTGGGCATTCACTTTGTTCTGTTCTAGATGCCAGGTTTAAAATACTTCCGTTCAGGCATTTTAACGAGGGCTTGACAAGGTTGAATGAAGAAGAGGTAGGCCAGTATACAGAATAGCCTAGAAGGAAGGAAGGAAGGAAGGAAGGAAGGAAGGAAGGAAGGAAGGAAGGAAGGAAGGAAGGATGGAAGGAAGGAAGGACTGAGTAATTTAATAAAGGCTTTAGTGCTTGGGTATATGTGAAGGACTTCCTTAACACCACTGGGCAGAAGTATTTCAGACCTCTGTATATCATTGCTACATTTCTCAAAACTACTCCACTCACTTCTGTACATACAGAAGAGAGAACAGTTGCGCTTTGGGTACTGGGGGTCATGTGTCCTGTGTACCTGGGGCAAATGTCATTATCTCCCACCAGGTTCATCCTGTCACTTCTGTACATACAGAAGAGAGAACAGTTGTGTTTTGGGTACTGGGGGTCATGTGTCCTGTGTACCTGGGGCAAATGTCATTATCTCCCGCCATGGATACAAATCCTAAGGAGTAGGAGACCGTTATGTCCTCCCAAACACAAAAGAAGCTTTATGCTGATTTTTTTAAAAAAGGTCAGGAGAGATTGCTCTTCTTTATCTATTGATCAGTAAATTCACCTCTAGAGTTTACTGGGGTGAGAATTCTCACCCAGAAGCCACTGGTAATGGTGTGGCTAAAAAATACTGTAAATAAATAAAAAAATACAGTAAATAGATCTCAGTGCTCTCTAAATTTTGGTACCCTGAGACAAAGCCCCACTTGCTCCACCTTAGTTACTTCCTTGTTCGTGAGGAGATAGAGATGTTGCACCCACAGCACAAGCTTATTATGCTTTTCTCCATGGGAGAGATTTGTAACTGTCTCTCCCGAAACACAATATTCAGAAACACAAAGACTAAGGGCCACACCTTAATGTGTAGTCTTATGTCCTGTAGCTGCTTTTAGTTTGTTCAATAAACAGTCACTATGGAAAGAGAACTAAATTAAAACCAACATGTGTAGTGTTAGTGAGGCTTTAACCCTTTGCCCGTGCTATGATCCTAATCACAATAGGGGGGCCTCAAGCAGTCCTCTGTTTGAAGGGCTGCCCAGTCCAGGGCTGAGAATTGTAAGGAGAGAAACTAGAGACCCTGAAGTTGCCCATCCGCAGGGAACACCACCTGGACAGGAGACTCAGCAGCAAACATAGCAGCAACTCACCTGGACACAGTCTTCTCCACTTCAGCAAGGTCTGTTGTGATGGAGCTGAACTTCTAAACAACACTTCTAATTTGGCCCCTGTGCACATATCAGTTGGCTCTGGTGGGCACTTACCTCCTGTGGTAAGAAGTGAATGTCTTGGAGGTGAGGCAGGGGAGGGTGGAGAGGATTCCAGTCAGGACAAGAACTGGGGTTTAAGACTCTGCTCTCAATGGACCTGAATTTGCTTAATTTATCCATTTGTAAAATAAAAAATGATACACAATATCAGATTATACAATTGCATTTGATTCGTCCCTAAATTGTGTTTTCTTGGGTTCAAGACTACTTACACCCTGGCATAAAATCAGTAGATATATCAGGATTGGGTAGATGTAGCCTATACACTGACTGTGGCCTTAGTGGCATTTTTTCAGCTGTCCCCACCCGGGCCATCCCAGAAGCCTCCTAAGTCACTTACAGGCATTTTAAAAAACAAAATTGGTTATTTCTGCCCCAGAAACATCCTGAAGTGTTTTTTGGGTGGTTGGTGGGTTAGGGGTTCTGTAAGCCCCCCAAACTCAAAACCTGAAGTGAAACAGATCCAGGAACTTCTCATTTTGTTTTGTTTATTTGCTTCAATCTTCTGGCCATTTTCTGCCATTTCTAGGCTCTGTGGGTACTAGGAGTGAAATGTTGTCCCCTAAGCCTGTGAAAGCAGCACATACCCGATGTTCATGAAAATAATAAGTCAACATGTAGTTCTTGTCATAAAAACAACTCTATCTCTCGGATCAGTTAATACTTGCTGTGACCACAGTTTACTTCAAAACTAAGGAGCAGATAAAAAATTGGGTACAGCGGCAGTCAACACCTGATATTGCTATATGAAGCAACACAGAAGAGAATGAAGATAAAATAAAATGGAGTACTGTTAACTGATCTGCCGTTTATTTAACTTTTAGTGGCTTCTTTGTTTACTAGTTAGTGAAAATGAAAATCTGTGCATTCTAGGTACCATTGCCACTATTGAATATTTACTAGGCTTTACATCACTTACAAGAACAACAGCAGCAGCAGCATTCTGATCACAAGTACTTAAAGTAACAAAGGTTTCAAATAAAGATGCTTACATGTTTTTTAAATAATAGCAGCTACTGAAAGTACCTGGCTTCACCTGGGTCTGTATCCCACCCCACCTGCAGTTTTCTTTTGCTTCTCTGTATCCTTTGCAATTATTTGTTTTTCTTCCTGTTCTTTTTTCTACCTTCATCCTGTACTCATTCGCCTAGTATCAGCTTTGCCTGAGTTGGATATCACTTTGTCTTCTGGACCGCCAGCACTATTTGCATTGTGTGCCCTCCCTAACTTGTTATTTCACACTATTTTTAATCTCCATCCTCATAATACCTTCACCTGGGTGAGAAGCTCCTTAATTTGAACCTCCCCCCCCCATCATTTTCTTTTTCCTTCTACTGCCCTCCTTTTTTCATTTACTGCTGGACCTGTTGTGTTTCCAGCACAATGTTTATCCAGGTTTTCTCTTTCTTAACTCACTCCGTCTCTCTTAGGGTTGCCATATTTTACTTCCAAGTTCAGGCAGCACTTCTACATGTTGTAGAGATCATGTGATTGCTGATAAATAGGGGGAACAACAACCCC